CAGGAGAACTGACCCATAGGGGTTCCCAAGTTCCCAAGCTGTAAATATCTCTACAGGGGCAGACCACCTCATCTTTCTCCCATGTAGTGGCTGGTGGGTTTGAACTGCTGACCTTTCAGTTCCCAGCACAAATGCATAGCCCACTGTGCCACCAGGGATCCTTCAACCTCCAGCGAAGCACCACTGAATAAAGTGAGAAAGTCTTACTGGTTTGTAGTTACCAGGACACTGGAGATGCTGAGAGCAGTGCACAGCATTTGAGAGGTGAGGGAGAGGAGGGCACGGTCTTCTCTTAGCTGTCCCCTGACCAAATGGGAATGCAACACAGTGACTAGAGCCTTTCTCTTCACTCAGTAAACACGAGCCTAACCATTGTGAAGGTATGCTTCCAAGCTGAGGCAAGGATGGTGCGGAGGCACAGCAATGCCCTGAGCTGCCACATCGCATATCGGACACGGCTGCTGGAAGGAAGCTGGAAGGAGGTAGGGCTGGAAGAATGGCTGCTTTCCTTGCTCCGAACATAACCCCAGGTCAACCCACCTAGGGATGCAGGGCTTCTAATTAGAGGCAAGGTCCAGCTGCTCCTTGGAAACCCTATCCAGGAAATGACTCGATGGCACTTAACAACAACAACATGCTTGTTAAGAAGGAGCCCTGGGAGAGTAAAGGACTATGAGCAGGGCTGCTAACTGCAAGGTCAGCAGTTTGAATCTACCAGTAGCTCCTGGGGAAACAGATGAGGCTTTCTGCTCCCATAAAGATTTACATCTTTGAAAACCCTATACAGAGTTGCTATGAGTCGGAACCAACCACACCACCACAAGCACCATGAATTTACGGAGTGTTGGTGTGGCACTCACTGTAGGATAAGCACTGGACTGATAACTGCAAGATGAGCACTTCAAACCCACCAGCCGATCCTTGGAACCCCTATACCGGGATGTTATGAGATGGAACCGATTCGACAGCATTTAACGATATACATCTTAATGGGAGCATGGTTGTTCTATAGGATAACCACTGTACTGCAAACCACAAGATTAGTGGTTTGAGTCTATCATCAGCTCTATGGCAGAAAGATGAGGCTTTATACTCCTGTAAAGACTTACAGGCTTGGAGACCTCATAGATGGTCACTATGAGTTGGAACCAACTCAATGGCACATCACCACCACCATGCATGTGAAGAAGTACTAGTGTGACTTTCTGCTCCTATAAAGATTTACAGCTCAGAAACCCTATACGGGGTTACTGTGAGTCAACGCCATGGCAGCAGGTTTGGGTTTGGGGTATGCATGGTAAGATGCACTTAAACCAGGTCCCAGTATTTTCTCCAATTGCCTCACATGCATTGACAGGGAACCCTGGAGAAGAATTGATGGATTTGAATTCTGGTGTTGGGGGGAGAATACAGAATATACTGATTCAAACATAACAACTATAGTGAGGATGCTGCAGGCCCGCTTAGTGCCTCACTCTGAGGTACACAGTGTGGCTGAGTGGGAACCCCTGCACTGCTAACCTAAAGGCTGGTGGTGGTGGTGAAGTGCTGTGGAGTCGGTTCCGACTCACAGGGACCCTGGAATGGGTTTCCGAGGCTGAGCAGGAAGCCTCATCTTTCTCCCGTGGAACCGCTGGTAGTTTTCAACTGCTGACTGTGAGATTAGCAGCCCTACTTGTGCCCACTGCGCTGGCAGAGCTCCTTTACAGGTTGGTACTTGAAGCCATCAGTGACTCAGAGGAAGGAAGATGTGGCAGTGTGTTTCTGTAAAGATCAGTTTTAGAAACTCAATGGGTCATTTCTACCCTGTCCTGTATACAGGGGTGTTACAAGTCCTGGTGTGGCGCTGTGGGTAATGTGCTGGACTGTAAGGTTGGTCTTAACTATAAAGTCGGTGTTCAAGTGTACCAGCTGTTCCCCGGAAACCCTATACAGGGTTGCTACAAGTCAGAACTGACTCGATGGCACTTAATAACTAACTAAAGGAGTTGGAAGGAGTCCTGGTGTGGCATTGAGGGATAAAGCACTGGTCTGCAATGTTGGTTTGAACCACAAGGTTGGCAGTTCAAACTTCCCAGCTGCTCCTTTGAAGCCCAATACAGGATTGCTATGAGTCGAAACTGACTCCATGGCACTTAACAACAACAGAATTTGGCATGAACTGAATGCATGCAACAATACAGGTTAATAAGTCTGTAGTTTGTAACTTGTGTGTACCTTGGTCGTGTGCTAAATCTTGAATGATAAAAATCAAAAGAATGACCTTTTCTCCTAGGAAAGACTCCATACTACACCTGAAATTTCAACTAAAACGATGGGAAACATCTCTATTTAAATGTACATTCTGTAAAATTCAGGTATTTAATTCATAAGTACTTCTCCAGGTTTACTGTGATAAACAATGGCCTGTTATTACATCTAATTTGGACAAGTTTAAATAGCAGGGAATGAGTTTCAAGAAGTACCCTGCCATTTTAATCTTACAAGAACAACTGTTTCGGTTTGCCCTTAGCTCTTCATTGATACAGGTAACAACAACACGGCTGCCAATTCGATTCCACCTCGTTATCATACTCTATGTGTCTGAGCAGAGCTGTGCGCCACAGTTTTCAGGCCACTGTGACCTTTGGAAGCTGATGCCCAGGTTGTTCTTCAGGAGGGCCTCTGGCTGAGTTCAAACTGCTCCTCTCTTTACTTTAATGGGTGAGAGTTTAACCATATGTGTCATGGAGACTCCTGATATTAGGTTCCTTTATAAGCCAAAGTATATTCTCGTCTCACCCAGGCACTGTAGCCAAAAAAGAAGTAAGCAAAGAATTCAGGATGTCAATCAGCAGTAAGCTTTTAACTAATTACATTTCTGAATGTACCAACAGACCAGTAGCACACCAAAATCCATGTAAAAATGGGACCTTTCAATCCTTTAATAAGTCTATCCAAATTGGGAAATTAATCCTTTAGTAAGTCTATCACAATCTAAATTGAGGCTGAATTTCTGCCTGAAATTCTGCTCAAACTATTGCCACACAGGGTAGCATGGATAGGTAGGGTACAGTTCACTCTCTCAGGAGGACTCAGAAGGTGAACCCCTGTATGTTATAGGTACTGTGTTTGCCTTAGATTAATTTCCACCTTCCCCTCCCTAGCCTCTTAATGCTACACTATGGGCACTAACTCTGTGTTTCTTCTGGTATAAAACTGTGTGGCTGTCTGAACACATAAATATGGCAACCGTTTTGGAAACTTTACAGTAAAGGATCCTTTTAAAGAAGACACATAGTTAAGAAACCTTATTTTCTTGACGTTTAGCCTGAGTTGTAATGGCACACAACACCAATATAAGCAACTTACAGTTGGGGGGACCTGGCAGAAATCCAGACGGTTCTCATCAGACCCCCCATTTCTGAGGAAAGTTACCAGTAACACCACCATTCCCCACTAATATATATGCCGCCAATGTACAAAAAGAAGGGATTTGTTAAAACAAAATCAGATTCTACTTTGCCCATGCAGAGTTCCACCATATAAATAATACATTGTCACCAGCATTCACTTTTCAGATGGTCTACTTTCTCGGCTGAGAGGCAGGACACCAAAATGGGAAGGAGAAGTGAATATCACAGAGTATAAATAGTTGTGGCCAAAAACAATATTGCAAAAGAGCCAATAGGCGAAGGACTCCCCAAATTACACCAGGAGTGACTTAATTCCATTATCTCACTTTATGAGAGTTGTACAGAAAACCACCATCAGGAAACAGGACAAAGGAACTTAACAACGCTTCCTAGGGCTTCTGAAATACACATACACATCACACACACTTTAAGTCTCAGCAGGTATGACCGTGTAAAGAAAACTTTCTCTGATGTAGGTCTCAAAAAGAGAAAAATGCCACCCAATAGGAAGAGAGCCTTTTCTCAGATATACTCAAAACCACTCATGAACACCAAGACTGATTTTTCAAATATATTTGTTTAATTCATTATATTCCAGAGAAAAACTGATGATCACATGGCAAGATCTAAGTGTGAACCGGGTACAAAGTAAGCCTTGTAGTGTGTCCCTACCACACCACTGATTAGACAGGATCCAAAGGACCAGCGATTGTACACAACAATGGTTAAAAAGGCATTTGGCATCGGTAGCTAAATTGCACAAGGGGCACACACATTCCACTTTCTAAGCGTTTGCTGGTTATTTCCAGATTTCTCTCACGTGCTAGTGAGCAAGTTTACCAAGATTCTGCAACATACCACATACACACATATACTCTTTAGGCATGGGCAGGATTCACAATGCAGACAATCATATAAAGTTATGTAAGAAAAGCAGTCTCTCTCCTCTGGGAAATTAAGTGAATCCAGGAGATCTCAGGAACTAGGTAAAGAAAATGCAAAGTATAATGGAAAAGGGTAGCACAGATAGAGGCAACTCCACCCGAGGTGCCTCCAGCATCCCTACAGAGAGTGTGTATGTTCTTGTTTTCTAACCCATCCCTGTAGGCCTGGGTAACGGGACACACTAGCTTCCAGCATGTGCGAGAGGAGCACCGGGAGAGTAAGCATCCAATGGGCCACTAGCTGGGGGTGCCAAAGCTGTCAATCCCTGGGACTGCACACACCCCAGCGCTGCCACCTGCTTTCTACTTCCTCTGGGAGGGCTGGTGACGCGTGGGCCCTAGGCGCACCGGTGGCAGCGATAATGAATCGGTAGTTTCTAAAGCCTCAATACAGGAAATGCCCCCAGGGCTCGTCCCCCCACACCTGGAGACTCTCCCCAGTCCGGCGCGCGGACCCAGGGGTGGAGATTGGAGATCCACGAGACCCGGGAGGGGGCCCGAGGACTGGGGAGGGGGCGACGCCGGCTTGGAGCTCCGGGACCGTGGGAAGGTGAGCTGGGGGCGGGGCCGCAGGGCTCCAAACAGCCAGGGGCGAGCCGCGCCGGGGAATTCCCCCGGGGCGAGGGCAGGCACGGGTGGAGAGGGACGCCCTGGCCGCTACCTGCTGCTGGATCTTCCCGTCCTCCGTGACGACCCAGTGTGTGGTGGCGAAGGCCCCTCGAGCCGCCACACTCAGCAAGGCAGAAAGGCTGAGGAGCCAGCCTGGGCCGGAGCAAGGCGGCAGCTCGCACCAGCCGCGGACCCCTATTGCCGCCGCCATCTTGCCCCCCCAGCCCTGCCGGTCACACCGGAAGCGGAAGCGGACCCCCGCCGCCCGCCATCTTGGGGAGGTCGGCGGTGGAGGAGGAGGAGCCCAGAGGACAGTGCTAGCTAAGGCCGGGGTTTCACAGCTGTGTTATGGGCGGTCAGAAAGTGCAGCCCTGGGGCGACTCGCCCAGCCTGATTTCCTGTTTTCATGCTTTCCTGAGGGAGATACGATCTCGGAGCGTGGGAACCGGAGAGATAAAAGTGATGTCCTAGGTATCTTTTAAAGATTGCCTTTTATTTCTGGTGGTGGTTGTTAAGTGCCTTCTAGTCAGTTCCGTCTGTCGTCTCTTTCCGCAGATGTAGTCAATTTGATTTCTGTGTATTCCATCTGATGAGGTCTATGTGTATAATCGCCTCTTATACTGTCTAAAAAGGTATTAGAAATGAACAAATTATTGATGTTGCATTCTAGTGATAGCACTATCATGCGATCTCCAGCATCATTTCTATCATCAAAGCTATATTTTTCCAACTAGTGGTCATCCCTGTTTGTTCCCAACCTTTGCATTCCCATCACCAGTAATGATCAATATATCTTGATTGCATGTTTGATCAATTACAGATTGAAGAACTTGGTACAATTCTTCTATTTCATCCTCACTGGCTTTAGTGGTTGGTGTGTATTTCAATAATAGTGGTATTAACTGATCCTCCCTGTAGGCACATGGATATTAATCCTATCACAGGCAGCGTTGGACCTCATGACTAATCTGGATATGTTCTGTTCGACAATGAATGCAACACCATTCCTTTTCAATTTATCATTCCAGCATAGTAAACCATGTGGTTGTCAGATTCTAAATGGCTAATATCAGTCGATTTCAGCTCACTAATGCCTAAGGTATCAATGTTTATGTGTTCCATTTCATTTTTGACAATTTCCAATTTTTCTAGATTCATACTTCATACATTCCATGTTCCAATTATTAATGGATGTTTACAGCTGTTTCTCTTCATTTTTAGTTGTGCCCCATTAGCAAATGAAAGTCCCGCAGGATTTACTCCCACGGGCTTTACTCCATTCACTCTACTTTAAGGTGGCAACTCTACTTTAAGGTGGCAGCGGAAAGAGATTAAGGAAAAGGTCATTATCATCAGTCAAAACAAGGCCAGGGTCAGATTGTGGAACAGACCATCAGTTGCTCATATGCAAATTCAAAGTGAAGCTGAA